TTTGCTATATAATGCTGACCATTTATCTTTATGTTTCTGAAAAGGTTTCTTGAAAATCAAGTATTTTAGCTTATGGCTGCTGAAAATCACTACTCTGTGACCCATATCAAAAAATAATTATGAGAATTCAGGGATATCACAGCTGAATCACAGCCAGAATATGTCATCAAAACCCATCAAGCCTCTGTGAAAATACTCTAGGAATATAGTGGTTTTTTTATTTTTGAAATACTTTTTTTCACAAAGTGCACCCTGGTGTCCTGGCTTTGAGACTCGAGTTGCCACATCCAACTTGCATGCCAATTAAGACTCGAGTTTGTTGTGTATTTAAAGAAAAACATGCTTTGTTTATTTCCTTCTCTACTCAGCTCCTGATACTGTGATTTTAAGCACTCAGAATCCATAAATTCTAAAGTGTCATGAAAGACTTATGGTTTGGTTTTACATGGAATGTGCCATCCTTTTTGAAGTCCTACATAATTTTGTTTACTAGTTAACCACTGAAAAATTACGAAGCCTTAACTAGCCTATTATCAGAGCCTGTTCACTATCAGGAAAACTCTTTGTCACTGGCTTCCGTCACACCTTGTATCTGATCAACACACTATAGGATAACACAGAGCTACATAGATCTGCTTTGTGTTCTAACACAACTGATGGAAAACAGATTTTCCTTTCTCCTTTAATGTGGCAGCCCCCTAATTGAGACTGTAACATGGTTTATTTAATATAATTTTTCATACTAAATTAAAGCAAGTCTGGAGTAATTTAGTTGCTCATTAAAGTTACGATGGTAGCTGCGAACAAGACACTTTTTATATCTTAGAAAATACACATAATTTAACATATATAATAAAGTTGTTGATTTTTATGCACATGCTATCTATTTCTCAGTAAGACTGCCCCAAGTGTTGACCTTTAGTCCTGACCACAAAGTAAAAGAAATAACTACATAAAATTTATATAAGTAAGAAATCATAATTTTCTTCTTTCATACTATACCTGTTTAAGTCCAACTGTTGTCAATTAAAAAAAATAAAGTAACTTGCATAACAGGTAGGAAACACACATTTATGTACAAAATTATGTGTGTATATACTTAAATTCTAACAAGTTGGAAAAATATCCTAAATTTCTGCCTTTTGGTTTATGTAATATTAAAATGAACTATTAAAAAGGGCTAACTAAATTTATCTTATTAAGCCCAATTAGATTCTATGGGATTAAGAAATAAAAATCAAACTTACACTGAGAAATAAAAAGATTTACCAAGACTGCAAAACAAACAAGAACCAGTTCTACTTGGTCTGGAAAGAGAAGATTTTAGAAATTTCTGCCAACAATTCACTTGAAAATCACTACTCTGTGGCCACATCCAACTTGCATGCCAATTAAAAGTGACCAGCATTTACCCATGCTTGAGAAAGCCTGAGTTCTAATGCTAACCCTAACCCTATAAACCTCTGTAACTTCTTTTCAGGATGTTGTAAGATACTTTTAAAGTGCTCTCCCTTACTGGCAAGATTATTAATAAACCCACATATTCTCTCTGACACAGGCTTCCTTGGTTATCTTTGCAGAGACCATAACAATGGGTGATGCAGAAGCTACATTTAAAGCTATATTGGTTTCTTTCATTTTAATAAACCAGCCTTATTAAGTACAATTTTGTCTGTCTGGAATGAAGACAGCACCTAGTTTTCCAAGGTTAGAATATTAAAGCTTGCTATTAATTCCAGATTATTAAAATAAAAACAATCTGCCCATGATTATAATTAAGAGTTAATAAAAAAGGAAGAAGTACCATTCGAAATCCCAGTGACACAAGCCTATGTCACTACTAATCACACAGTAGCTAGAATGATGACAGTCATCAGTCTTTCACCAGAGAACCTGTTAACACCCTGTAGATATAGTGTGTCATTAGTACAAATAATCTAGTGATAGGCCATGTAGTAGTACTGCTTCTGGAATGCCAGTTCACATGGTTACAGAATAGTATCTTGGTGTTCTCTGGAGTCTATATTGTAAGTTTTTATATTCAAGGAACATATATTGTTGAGTTTTGTATTTTCAGTGTCTTTCTTAGTGTTTGTCATGTAATAGGTGCTTAATAAACACGTATTAAATATCTGACAAACCAGAAGTATCAGAGGAGGATTTCTGAGGTTCTCAAATACTTCACACAAAGTTGAGGATGTACTGAAAGATACAAATCTAATTGAGTTGTTAGAAGCTCTCTAGATTGGAGGTGTAGGTAATGTTCTTCCTTTCATGATTCCCAAGGCATGGAAGAGAAAAAGGCAATGGTCAACAGATTTAGAATTCCCTTGGAAGACCAACTAGTTATAGGTTTCTCTCTCCTTGTCTCCTTGCTCCTCTTTGCATCTACACCACTCCCTGCCTCCCAAGCTACAAGTAACATAGTCAAACAGGCAACAATGTGCTGATGAGGCCAGAGACTGCATCACATAAACAAGTTATGTAATACTCCTTGGTACCTAGAGTACTACCACCACACATCTGTTTCAATTCATCAGTTGAGGGCTTGGGCCCAACTACATTAAACAAATAATCACTAGTATAATATTTGCATAATTTGGGGGACAAGTACTTTACTGCAGAAAGCATATTTCCCCAAGGCTTGCAAGGCAACTAATTTTTTTAAGTGTTATTCCGCACTATCTGCCTTCAGTGGCAAGTAAGTTTGTTTTCTTACAGATAAATTGCTTTGAGCTACAAATATTTCTATCCTGTCTATTTATTTTTTTATTATTATAGAATACAGTTATGCTGAAAATACTAGGAAATCATTATCTAGAGGTAAAAATAGTTTTAAGAGATCATCCACTCGTAAGCAAGTTTCTAATAATTTAAAAAGTTTGTTATTTAGTTAGCATTAGTAATGCTAACTAAAGACTTTACATTCTCCCTTGATGGTCTTTTTATTGAGCAACATTTCAAGGCAGCAATGGGGGCAGAAACCAGAATTTTCCTAGGTTTAAAGTGCAGAAGTGAAGGAAGTAAAATATAGACAACTCTTTGGAAACTTTGGTTCTGGAAAGGAGAGCTAAGACAATATCTAAAAGAGAAAAGAGACACAGGGTTGGGGTGACTGCAGTTTAAGATAAGAGACTTAAGCCCAGAGTTTGGAAATTATTTGAAATAAAATTTTGATTTTATAATAATACATTTGTATTTTATACAAAATATTTATAGATGAATGCTGAATTGACCTTTTGGAACTATCACCTTACATTCTAAACCACATAGACTTAATATGTAAATCTAAACATTACTGTCTTCCAGCCACCTTTCCTAGACAGAAGGTAGATAAAAAGTATGTTCAATGTAATGCATAACAGACTGTCAACTCTCTCCTTTCCTCATTGCTTCAAGTAAGACAGTCACATATAGAACTATAAGAAGTTTCTTGTTCTTATACTAATACTTTACATACAGCAATGACACTGTGATCTATTAGAAAATAGTACGAGTCATGAAATTATTCTCTAGGCATATTAAATATTCTATATTCATAAGTCCTGTGATCAGTTAATAGTGAAATATCTTGGCTGAACAAGGATTTAATAGGTACAGTTTCTCTATTATGACTTAGAAATCAAAGCTAAAATGTCAATGTATCAATTTAGTTCTACACCAGTAATGAGACAGTCAAATCCAAAACACAGATGATATCAAATTAAGATGAATTTCTGAAATAAAATGTGAGAAAGTGACAATAAAGTTCCTAATGGTGATTGTCTATTTTCATGATTAAATCACTACCAGAAAGTCCAACTTAGTGGATTTCCAACTAAGTTAATTGATTTTTTAAAAAAATATTATTGTGATCTGTTAAAAAAGTTAAAGTTAAAAATTTAAAACTACTGAATAGGCTACATTCAATAAACTTTCTAAAGGTGAGCCAAATCCAGTTCAAAAAAGAAAGCAATCTGGTTGTGCATAGCAGTATATGCTGTATATAAAAAACTACTTAAAATAATTGAGTATCTGGCACATCCCCAGTGCAGGGCCCAAATCCAGGGATAAGACTGTGGTAGGCAGCAAAATTGCTGAAGAAAAGTCTGCATGGTCCAGAAGTTTCCTACCCAACACTTAGATCATCTCTTTAATCATATCTCTGTAGTCACGTATCCTTTAAAAACCTCCAAAACTGGCCAGGCGCAGTGGCTCATGCCTGTAATCCCAGCACTTTGGGAGGCCGAGGAGGGCGGATCACAAGGTCAGGAGATCGAGACCACCCTCACTAACATGGTGAAATCCCATCTCTACTACACACACACACACACACACACACACACACAAATATTAGCCCAGTATTGTGGCAGGCACCTGCAGTCCCAGCTACTCAGGAGACTGAGGCAGGAGAATCGCTTGAACCCAGGAAACAGAGGTTGCAGTGAGCTGAGATCGTACCACTGCACTCCGGTCTGGGTGACAGGGTGAGACTCTGTCTCAAAAAACAAAACAAAACACACAAATACACAAAAAAAAAAACCTCAAAAACTGAATAACATTAAGATTTTTGTATTCCCCATCATTTCAAAGCAACTTAAAGGACAACTGTATGCATATAATAAAACTATCAATTAACTGAAAAAATAGCTGATACAAGATTTGATTTGTTAAAAAAATTTAATGGCCAAACCACAAAATTGATGATGTTTTGACAGAAACTGTCTCTCAACTCCCCACTCCTATATAACAATTTATCTGAAAAACAAGTGACTCTGAGATGACATGAAGATCCGAACTCTGAATACCCATAAAGTCTCTAAGGAGCTGATGACTTAAAAGTTGAAAGCTAAAAATTTACTAATATTTAAAAAGTAAATTTAATATCACTGTATATCCTGAATCTTACCAAAATACAAAGTTGGGTTTACACTGAATGCATAGTTCAAAATAGGTTTACAATGTTTTTTCCCTCCAAAATGAAGTCAATCATACTTTGTGTAGAAAAAATAATTACTTACCGCTATAATATCTAATGTATTATCACAGACCTTTCGAATTTCATTATTCTTATCATGCATCAGGTCTATGAGATATGCTGGAGCCTCTGAATAAAAATGGTTAAAGACAGAAACTACATTTGATATTGTGGCTAACCAATAATATTAGAAAAATCTCCTATTTTTTCTAAATTAAAATGCTAAATAGAAATTTAACCCAAATTTTGAAATAAAATTAATGCAAGATGACCAGAAACACTTAATATTTCATTGTTTAAAAAAACAGGGATAGTAGGGACATTAAAAAAAAGAAAAATTTAGATAAAAATGGATATGGAAAACAAAGTCAGTAAATTCCAGGAAATACAAGACCCTATTTCTGAATACATGAGGATCATGAACATAAATGAAGAGGAAGCTCTATAGTCGTGTAGCTACAAATGCTTCTTAATCTATCCTGCTCTTCTAAAAATTCAGGAAAACTAATTTCATACAAAGGTAACAAAAGAGATTCATGGTCAAAAAGGGAAGGCATATGATATTTTCACATAAAAGAAAGCTGCAACCTAATAATTTCAAAAGAGATAAAAATAATGAAAAAATAATTTTATATATATATATATATATATACACACACACACACACACACACACATATATATGTATATATAAACAACACAAATCAGGATTAGAAAACGAAAGGAAATAAAATAATTCAGAAAAGAACCAAAAACACAAGTAAAAATCATTTTGGATATATAAAAAATAAGATAACAAAAGATTAAATAAACATAAGTCCTCACAAAAAACCTTATGAGATGACCTATTAACAGGGTTGTCTTTCAAAGAAGTTACCTAGGAAAACTACATTTTCATTTAACTATTTCCTGTAATGGCTTCTACAATCATGTAAATTTTAAGTAATTCTATACATAAAATATACCTTCAGAGACTCTCAACCCAAAAAAACATAAGTTCTAAGAACACCTTGTAACAAGAAAACCTGCTAACTTTAACTCGGTGTTTCTCAATCTTATTTTACTATCATAGAACCTTTTTTTCATTAAGCATCTGTTAATACTTAAGGAGTATGTTCCATGGAAGACAGCTGACGAAAAATTTATTCCAATTATTTTAACACTGTTAAATTTGGAGTTTATCTTTCTGGGAAAGTCAGTTTGTAAACCATATTAAAAACATTTATTACTTTTTCTATTGTTAGCTGTTAAGGCAGAACAGTATTTGTATTTTGATAGCCCATATTAATAACATTTCTAAAAATAGACTTGTTATTTATCAGACTTGACTCTTGGAAACTTCATATGGTTTCAGAATTTTTAATTTTTTGAGATAGGGTCTCCCTCTGCCACCCAGGCTGGAATGCAGTGGCACAATCGTAGCTCACTGCAGCCTTGACTTCTGAGGTTCACATGATAACTCCTGCTTCAGTTTCCTGAGTAGCTGGGACTAGAGGCATGCAACGTGATGCCCAGCTAATATTTTATCTTTTTATTTTTAGTAGAGATGAGGTCTCACTATGTTGCCCAGGCTGGTCTCAAACACTTGAGCTCAAGTGATGCTCTTACCTCAGCCTCCCAAAGTGCTGGGATTACAGGCATGAGCCACTGTGCCCAGCCAATCATACTGGATTATAATTTTATATTTCTTGTATATTATACCTGTCTAACTCTCCAAGGAAACTATAAACTCCTTGAGGTCAAGGACTTTCTTATACATCTAACACATAAGCCAGTATCTGTTTAGATGGTCAAAGCTTGAGAAATGTGTGAATAAATGTAAGTTTAATTACATATAGTAAAAGAGTTAGCAGATACCAAAATTTTCAGCTTAAGAGGCTGTGTGGATGACACAGTTGTTATTCACAATGAATACAGAAGGCACGACTGTTTTGCTTATCAGGGAGGATGTTACCAATATTGAGTGCCCTTTGGATGCAAGAATGATAAACTACCAGGTACTAAAATACCTCTGTGTGTTGGGAACTATTGGCAATTTAAATCCATTAGTACTTACAACAATTCTATAAGGTAGGAGGTCTTTTAATTTTAATATTAATGTTACAGGTATTTTTTAGGTGCATGATTGTTAAGTAACTTTTCCAAGGTCCTGCAGCTTAGTAGCAAAAGGCAATTTAAAATTAGGACTATTTGATTTATAACGCTCTTCAGGCTACAGCATGCTGTGCTCCTTTAGGTAAGTGGAAGATATCCAAGTGGCAGTTAGCAACAAATGCCTGGGGCTCAAGATAGGGGTTATGAAGTTTAAATACTTCGCATATAGTTGGTAGCTAAACTCATGGGAATAGATGTGCTTTCCCACATAGAGTAAATAAGGTAAGATTAGAAAAGAACCAAGGATAGTCCTAGGAAACTCTGTTATTTAAGGTATGTTAATAGAGAAGGAAGTTCTGATATGTTTGTTAAGTTTCTTAGGAATCATAACCTGACTAGTTAATAAAATTGTTCTCATTATATTCTACCTATATACTGATTTGGGGTCAAGAGGTTCCATGGAAAATAGGTTATCTTCTAAATTTATCTCAAAACTTAGTGTTTTTTTATACATTATCTCAACATTTGCAAGAAAAAAAAAACAAAGATGAATCCTTTCTGAATATGTGAAATATTGCTATCTACTGTAAACACTGAAAGGATACGTGTTTCCTTGATTATGACGTCTCTCGTGGCTTGGTGGAAAACCATTTGGTAGAAGACATAAATTATCTGACATACAAATTCATCATCTTCTTGTTGAGCTGTAAGTAAACAAAAAACTCAAATGAAGAATACTGTGTTTATATACCAAATTTAAAATCATTGAGGGGAATAATATAGAATGAGTAAAACTAAAAGTGATAAGGAGATAAGTAAGCAGAAATGGATTAAACTAACTTCTATGTTTCTAATGTAAAATGGTAACAGTTACTACCACCTGTTTTGTGCATAAGAATTCTTTAAACAATTCTAATTTGTAAAATAAACCTGGTTCTATTTTGTCTTTATAATGTTGACTTCACAGGAGAAAAATAATTCTTAAAAATCACATCTTCTAAACTTTAGGTAGAAACTGAACTATTATAAAAAGGTATTTCTTTTTGTTGAATAATGTTCACAAAATTAAACTTTATGTATTGGCATGAAATAATAAGCAATTTAGTTTCCATCTAATTAATTATAATAGTAAAAAGTTACATAATAAAGGCCACTTAATAAATGTTTAATACCATACAAACAGTAGCTTAACATAATAGCTGATGTCCACTGATTAATATGCAGTAGAAAAAGGATAACTGCTTAGAGAAATCTAACCTTAAGTAATGGTTGTAAAATTAGATTTAATAGTATAGTTTGCTATCAACTCTTGGTAAAAGTTCAATGACAGTTTAGAAACAGATATTTAGGTCAACAGAGTATCAAACCAGTTGTATAGAATAAATTGTGGGTCTCTTAAAGTTCAGTTTGTCCCAAATGATCTCCCTTACTAACTTGCCAAGGTACTACTCCCTGAAACGAATTGGGTTAAATTTCTCACTATTAATTACTATATTGGTATACAGTATTCTCACTTAATACCAAAGGTTTCAATCTTGAAAATCCATATATTTCTTAAAAAGAGTATTATAAAGTCTCTGCCTGTGATGATCTCATGTCAGAGAACACCAAAACATAGTAAAACACTCTGAGCTAGCTGTGTCAGATCACTTTATAAAGCTCTCTTGATTATAATCACCATGGGACAGCAATTCCAGGAGGCAGGTCATTTTGCTTCAGCTTTCTTCAGTTCTCCACAAAATCTTCATTCTCATTCTGTCAACTACGTGTCTTTACTTTCACCTCCTAACTACTTAGTCTTTCTTTTAATTATTTCTGATCTGCAAACTTCTGGCTATGAGAAGAGGGTACCAAAGTAAATACAAATATGCTACATTTTGGAGAAGGAATACTTCAAATATGGGGCATTAACTCTAGATGGTCTATTAAAATAAATCATATTAAGGAACTTACAAATTAAATTAAAAAAATTCACAACAGAAAAATGTGCCAAAGGCTTAAACAGGCACATCTTTGTATTTGGTATCCCTAAATGGTCAATAAACATAAACAAGTGTTCAATTTCATTAGTCATTAGGGAAATGCAAATTAAAATCAAATGACATACCAGTATGATGGCTACAATTGAAAGGACTGACAATACCCAGTATTGGAGGTGATGTGGAACAACTGCAGGTCTCTTACATTACTGGTAGGAATGAAAACTGGGACAACTACAGATTGGCACAGTTTACTAAAGCTAAACACATACAAACTTTGTGACCCGGCCATTCTACTCCTACGTGTATACCTGATAGAAATGAGTACATATGTTCACCAAATAAAAGGTTTCAAAATGTTCATAGGAGCATTATTTATAATAGTCCTCCTCCTCCCCACAAAAACCTAGCTACTATCCGTCAGTAGTAGAAAGGATAAATGGTGGTATATTTATGTAATATTATATACAACAATGAAAATGAACAAACTTTCGTATACAACATAGATGAATGTCGCAAGTACAAGGCAGAACAAAATAAACTAGATTCCACTTACATAATAAAGTTCAAAACCAACCAAAAGTAATCTAGTGGTGACAAAAGAAACTGTCTTTTGTTTCAAATTAACCACTTTTTTTTTTGAGGTGGAGTCTCGTTCTATCACCAGGCTGGAGTACAGGGGTGCAATCTTGGCTCACTGCAACCTCCGCATTCCTGGGTTCAAGCGATTCTCACGCTTCAGCCTCTCGAGTAGCTGGGACTAAAGGTGGGCACAATGCCCAGCTAATTTTTGTATTTTTAGTAGGCACAGGGCTTCACTATGTTGGCCAGGATGGTCTCATCTCTTGACCTCAGATCCGCCCTCCCGGGCCTCCCAAAGCGCTGAGATTACAGGTGTGAGCCACGGTGCCTGGCCCCAAACAAACCACTTTGAAGGAGGTGCTAACAACTGAGAGGAGGGAGAAAGGGCACTTCTAAGGTACTGGCAATGTTTTATTTTCTTACATGAGTGATAACATGGGTGTGCTTACACTGAAAATACACTGAACTATACTTAAAATTTATGTATTCTATACATACATTCTAAAAGTCTAATAAAATTAATACAAAATGCATATATATCAAACCTAGTACAAGATGAACTGAGATGAGAGTATCTTCTTCAGGCATCTCATATTAGCGTTTTTCACTTCTGTACTAGGTAGTTATGATGTGTAAGATCCTAGAGAATTGGCCCTAATAAGATTCGGATAAATTTTGTATGCAATATGGAGAAGAATGAGCCCTGCCCCTTAAAAGCAATATAAATGCAAGGGGAAAACTCTAGGCCTACACTCTCAAATACTGTAGCCATAAACTACTGAAGCTAATTAAATTAATTCAAAAATTCAGGTTATCAGTTGTAAGAGCCACAGTTCAAGTGTTCTACAGCTGCATGTGTTGGACAGCACATATACAGAACATTTTCATCAACTAAGAAAGTTCAGAGAACTTAGAGGGCAATTGTCTCTGGATCTAGAAGGGAATATGATGTTTAGAATTAGCTTCCAAATGAACTTTCCTACTTAGAAGTCAAGTAATAAAAAACAAGATTTGCACAAGAGAAGAGATCCAATTCAAACCAACACAAAGCTCAACAGAAAGAAGTTATATAATACAGTGGTCCTTCCTTATCTGTGTTTTTTCTTTCCATGGTTGTAGTTGCCTGTAGTCAACCATGGTCCAGAAATATCAAATGAAAAATTCCAGAAATAATTCATACGTTTTAAATTGTATACAATTCTGAATAGTGTGATGTAATTTCCCACTGTTCCACTCTGTCCCATCCAGTACATGAATCATCCCTTTGTCCAGTGTATTCAGGATGTACATGCCACCCACCCATTAGTCCCTTAGCAGCCATCTTGGTTATCAGGTCAACTAGCACAGTACTGCAATGCTTGTATTCAAGTAACCCTTATTTCATTTAACAATGGCTCCAAACTATAAGAGTAGTGATGCTAAGCATATTCTTGTAATTGTTCTCCTTTGCTATTAGTTATTGTTGTTAATTTCTTACTGTGTCTAATTTATAAATTAAACTTTATCATAGGTATGTTTAGAAAAAGACAGTATTGGCTGGGCGCGGTGGCTCAAGCCTGTAATCCCAGCACTTTGGGAGGCCGAGGCGGGTGGATCACGAGGTCAAGATATCGAGACCATCCTGGTCAACATGGTGAAACCCCGTCTGTACTAAAGATACAAAAATTAACTGGGCATGGTGGCGCGTGCCTGTAATCCCAGCTACTCAGGAGGCTGAGGCAGGAGAATTGCCTGAACCCATGAGGCGGAGGTTGCGGTGAGCCGAGATCGCGCCATTGCACTCCAGCCTGGGTAACAAGAGCGAAACTCCATCTCAAAAAAAAAAAAAAAAGAAAAAGACAGTATTTATAGGGTTTGGTAGTATCTGCAGTTTCAGGCATCTGCTGATGATCTTGGAATGTATTCTCCTTGATTAAGCGGTGACTACTGTATTGGTTGTTCAAGGCTGGTGAGGAGAGTACTTTTGTAAAATTGGTCCTGAACTTCTTTATAGCAACATTCTTACCTTTGAAAGCTAAAGATCTTTGATACTACTCTATCCAATTCCAGTTAGCAGTATATTTAATTCATTTTTCTTGATTATGTAAGTTGCTATAAAACAATTAATGTAATGAGAAAAACAGATTGCAGACTCTGCATTTTATATTTAAATATTTAAATCAGTAAGCTGTTTACATTAACATAAAAATAAATTAAGTTTATTTACCATTTAGCAATTCAATGAGTGCAGGGATTATTCCAGATTTGGCTAGCAATGCAGCACAAGAGTCATCCATGGATACAGTTCCAATCATTATAACCACTTCTAAAACAAGGTCATCTTCTGCAGCACCTAGTGAAGTCAAACCATAGAAAATTTTCACTGAAATATCCTGATCCAAATTCATTTATATTATCAAAATTTAAATGCACAGAAAGGATACCAAAAGCTATTAAATCAAGTCATATGAATCATTGATATGCTATAAATTTGTCCTTTTTCCAAATTTCTCTGTTTGCTGATGACAGTTTATGATAGTGGAGGGGAGGGCTGGGGGACCGAAGCAGCAGAAGAGTGGAAATGAGCCTTTGAGATTACAACTGAATGACAGCATAGACAAAGAAAATAAGACTAATTTGAATGCCTCAAAAACCTTTGGGTATGTGTATGTATACGGAGAGGAATGGCATTTGGTAATTTAAAAAAAATAGAATTTACCAAAAGAACACAAGAAAGGTAAAATAGGAAACAAACTAATATTAAGAAAACACACTTTTAGGAGAAAGAGAACTTATATGTAAGTGGAAATCCAATGACCACCTTGCTGTAAGAAGAAGTGGCTTTTCCTAATATAATAATACAACAGTCACACAATACTGCTCTAGCAGCCTTATCCATAACAGAAAGAAATAACTTAGTGAATATGTAAAAGTGAAATACTTAGCACAGACCTGGTTTTAGTTTATCCTTGAGGTATGGAACCAACTTATATTCTTTAAGAACCAATTCCCAGTCTAAGTCTGGAATGGTCAAGTTTGCAAGAGTTCCCAAACATTCAATCACAAACTCCTCCTCTTCATCATTAGAGATCTGGGCTGCGAGGTCCCCAACATAATCCTGAATAAAACAGAATTATAATATAAAGTTAAAATATTATTTTTTATTTAATCTAATATTTAACCCACAGTAATCTAACAATTTAACCCATTGAAAGAAAAAAATCAATATCAAATGTGATTTTCTTGTTTTAATAATCTTGAGCTAAATTGCTAAAGAAGCCTATGGTGAACTGATTTAAGGCAAGAAGACTGTATTGGGGTGGAGGGATTAGGATAAGGATCACAAAACAAAACAACATTGAAACATAGGTTGAGATGTCTAGGTGCTAAACTAACAAAGAAGTTGATAACGTAAGAGCAATTTGGATTATAAATTAACATTGGACAAGATCCCAGTAAGTGTTTCCAAATGTAGCAATTTCAATTCCAAGTCTATTTTATTAGAAAGCCAAAACAATACTTACTATAAACAAATTTTTAGTTGGCCCATCATGCTGAGAAATGTTTCTAATCATTTTCATCAGCAATGGATCCTTAAACTTCAGCGCCCTCTTCATGAGCATCTTCAGCCCATTTCCTGAAACAGAAAGGTCCCCCAATAAAATGAGGGTTAACTTAAGTTTAATAATTTTTTGTTTAGCTCTCAAAAAAAGCCACAGCAATTTAGTAAAATGCATAACTCTTAAGGGTACAATTTGATTAATGTAGATGAAGGTATATATCTATGCAACACATACCACATATCGTATCAACATACAGCATATTTTCATTCCCTTTAATAAGTTCATTTGTGCCCCTTCCCAGTCAATCCTGTTCCCCAGATACAATCACTTTTCCTCTTTCCTTTTCCCTGTCTCATTTTTAAACATAAATAAGTTTTGCCTGATATAGAACTTCATATAAATAGAATCATACAATATGTGCTACTTTGTGTCTACAAAGTCTACTACAAATGTTAAAAACATAAATACTTTTTTTTTTTTGAGACAGAGTCTCGCTCTGTCGCCAGGTGCCAGGCTGGAGTGCACTGGTGCGATCTCGGCTCACTGCAACCTCTACCTCTCAGGTTCAAGCAATTCTCCTGCCTCAGCCTCCCAAGTAGCTAGGACTACAGTCGTGCGCCACCACATCCAGCTAATTTTTGTATTTTTAGTAGAGACGAGGTTTCACCATGTTGGCCAGGATGGTCTCGATCTCTTGACCTCATGATCCGCCTGCCTCGGCCTCCTAAAGTGCTGGGATTACAGGCATGAGCCAACCGTGCCCAACCCATAAATACTTTTGACTCAGAAAAATTGTACTTCTGGGAATTTATCCAAACAATATAAAAATGAAAATGTATAAAGATTCAGAGAATGGACAATTACTACAGCACTGTTTATAAGAGAAAAGAAGTGGTAACAACCTATATTCATAATAGTGAAGTAAACTACGGCAAAATTCTTTAATAGTCAATTTTGCAGTTATTAACAATTGTGCTTTATAAAAGTATTTAATCACATAGAATATTATTTCAAGATATTACTAATTTTAAAAGAATATACCATGATATACAGATAATCACATTTTGACTTAAAAATACGTAGAAGTATTACACTAAAATCTTACCTATGATTATCTGTGGATGATAGGAATAAAGATTTAAACTTTTTCCTTTTTGCTCATTTGTGCTTTTTATAACAAATACATACTACTTTTCAAATAAGGCAAAAACTATTGGGCAGAATCTGAAACATCATAATGTATGACAGGCTATTTTACCAAGATATTATAGAAACAATAATCTAATATATTTGTATTTTATTACCTTATATTGTAATAGACTGCTTTGCAAAGAAAAAGTTTCATTTTATCTAGAAAATGTTTTTGGTTAAGCCTAACTCACCATGGTTTATAAAATGTTGCCAAAAGGTTAAGTGTCTGCATTTGTGATGTCAGAATATTCTATCTGACCTTTAAGGATTATAGCTATAATGAATAAATTATTTAAAAATAGGACTCACATAATCACTATAATTAATTCCTTATTATCTATTTTCCATCATATGCCAAATACCATGTGCTAAAAAGGTTACCTACACTCAAAGGCACTAACCTTCACAGATAAGCTGAACATTCCTTTTGTTAGCAGCAAGATTAATGCAGAAAGAAATGAGTTCCAAGTCAATTCGTTCATCTGAGCATTCAAATAGCATCTTCATTAACTAGCAGGAAGAAGAGTGCATATTTTACTCAAAAAGAAAAACCAAAAAAACCAAACATAGAAGCAATATTTTTATCATAATGTGTTACCTTAGATTGTACACTGGAAATAATATAATTATTTACATTTTAACACATAAAACTGGCAGGCATTCCCTGTTAAGTAACCAGATGAATAAACAGTTAATGGACTCTTAGATGCTCAGAATTAAATAAGAACTTCTAAGTACCAGTGTAGAATATAAGAGAAATATTAGATAAAACATCTGCCCTTAAAGAATTAGACATTCCAAGCAAAGAAAATAGCTTACGCAAAGGTCACAATGCAGGAAAAAACAGTACTCTATGAAGAACTAAAAGAAAGCAAGCATTGTTGGTGAAAGTGAAACAACAGTTTTAAGAGATAGGAAGGTAAAAACCAGATCATGCAGGGTCTTGAAGTACATGTTAAAGATTTTGGCCTTCGTGCTAAGGATAATGGGAAGCTACTAAAAGCTTCTAAATAGGAAAGTATCAGGATAAAATGTGTGCTTCAAAAAGATTTAGCCAGTGTAGAAAATAGAATAAACTTGCAAGAAAATATGGGGAGCCCTGCAGGAGGCTGGAGGAAAAGTCCCAGTGAGAAGATGGCTGCCTGGACTAGGTAGAGATAAAAGGATTGATTAGACATATATTTAGAGAAGAAAACCAAAATGGGGTTTAATAACAGACTAGACATTATGGTTAAAAGAGAGGAGTTGTCAAAGATGACTTCCAGGTTTATGCACTGAGCAATGACATACATGCTGATGCCAACATCTACCGAAAAGGAGAAACTAGGGTAGGAGAAAACTTTAAAGGGAAGATAGTAATTTTGGTTTTAGATATGCTGAGTTTAAGCTGCTTATGTGATAGTCTAGCGCAGATATTCAGCAGGGAGTTATAAACGCAGGCCTGTGTTTAGAAGAAATGTCTGGACTGGATGTATAATTTTAGGAACTGGCATATATGGTTGAAACTGAAGCTGCAGGCTAAATCCAATCACTTGGGCATGGGTATCAAATGAGAAAAGAACTTTTTTAGTGATAAGAGAAAAGGAAAAAAGGTCTGAGAAGCAGCAGACAAAAAGGTAAGAAGGAAAAGGTAGGCTACCTAAGCCATTTAGCAGTAATCCAGATTGTCATAAGAGATAGATGCTATAATAAAGGACAAATAAAGAAACTTCATGCTATGTTTTGGAGAAGCTAGTCTTCTATTATTGTCAAATCACCAAATTAACTTAGAGTATAGTATGTAAAGAGAGTCTTCTCTTAGCCCACATTGTTAACAACAAAGAGTAGTTATTCCTAAAATTTTAAATATGAAAACTTCTTATGTTTTATCTCTGGGCAATACCTTTTTAAAACAACATGCCTTCATGAATCCAACCCAGTGAATAATAAATATTTATATATTTTAGACCTCATTCCGTTAAATCTTGTTTTGATTACTGTTAGTTCAAGATGACTTCTGCATTTCAAAAATATGTGGTCAACATACAAAAATCAATCACATTTCTATGTGTTAGTAGTGAACAGCTGAAAACCAAAATTAAATTTGGTTAAATTAATTAAAAAACATAATATCACTTGAATTATTAGGTATATTTCTAAGCAAATACACTGATCTGTATGCTAAAAATTACAAAACACTGTAGCAGGTGAACGGCTGGCATGTATCATGTACTCCTCCTGAGAACAGACCTTTAACCAAAAATATTACCACAGATGGAATCTCTGGGTAAGAATCATTAATACTTAATAATGCTACTGAATAAAAAAAAAAAGATTCAAGGGCAAAAATAAAATAATCTTAATTTACTGGATATATATTTAACAGATTTCACTACCTATCTGCCCAATTAAAATTAAATTACAAATAAAATTGCCAATAAAAATTAAATGAAAAATTACCAAAAATGTAGGTGACAATCCTCTAATTAACTGGTATATTTTCTAAACTGTAATTAAAAACCTACTATAGATTTTTTTTCAAACTGAGAATTGGTTACAATGAAGCAAAGTTTCAAGCAAAGTATGTACTGCTACCAAAATTATTTATTTCAAATCAACATTTGTAGTATGAAAATTACCCTTAAACACAGGGCTACAGTTATTATTTTAGAAGGCAAAAAAAATTTTTAATGTAATTTCCATACTAAATTCTACCTAGAAATAAATAATCAGAAACTAGATTTTTAGAAAATAATGCACGGCTTGAAAACTTACTCAACTTCCATTCCTCAAATCAAGCTAAATTAGGACTAAATATAAATGGAATGTATAATGATATAGAATTAGTTTTTCATAATAAGAGAGATAAACACTTCAATTTGAATTAAAGCTTTCAAATTAAAAAAAAAATAGTTCGAACTACAAATGAAAGAGTATGTCTTTAATTTGATTGCTATCATAGCACTTCAAAAGTAAGTATAATTGCTGAGAACTAGAAAATATTAAAACTAGATCTGTTCGTTTTAACTATGTCCATTGTCATCTTTTACTAATTTAACAGAAAAGCACTAAAAGGGCTTCAGCCTGTGCCATGAAGAGGCAATAGTGTTCAATCAGACAAGTCCCATATTGAGTATCAGATACCAAAGACCCATGACTGAAATCACTGTGTCTAGACTCTCTGGCACCTGACTTCACTTATTTACCAGTGACCAGAGGCCAACCCCCACAGCTCTCTGTATTCGCATACAACTCTACCACCCCCACCCCCTACCCAAACATCTTTGAATGATTATACCAGAACTTTGCATGCCTCAGGAATCTCTTCTGACTGGCTACTCCCTAACTCTCCTGTTTGAAGTGATGCTCTGGTTTCTGAACTTCAGCAGATAATGGCAGGCAAGAGCAAAGGGGGCTGTCAGAAAGGACGTTTACCAGCATTCAGCTAAAAAGAAGCATGTAGATCAAAGGGGGACATACAGGACAACTGTGGTGGAAAACATGTGGATCACTATGAAGATTCTTGCACACTGTTCTAGGATAAAATATTAAATAACACCATGACATCACTACCTAACCATGTACTTTGACTGGCCATTCTATTACCAATAAATACTTTTATAAGCATCTGGATGGCATTTGCACCCATTTAAACAAAACATGCATCTCAGGGGTCTAAATAACAACGAACTGTTAATGTGTACTTTTAACTATTATTAGAATACAATCATTAATTCCCGGCTATCCTCAAGTATGCTTACCTGAAACAGTCAACCCATTGAGACCATTAAGATCATGTATAAAGAACTGACCTGGCCCCTAAATTTTACAGAACAGTGATACAATAGGATAAGAAAGTTAACATACATTGGATAACTAGAGGCAATAAAGTACAAAGGAAGCAAAGCCATATAATATTGGGAGAGATTATGAGGCATGCTGTATATATAATGACCTACTCTGGATGTTAAATATTTTCTCAAAGTAAATTCTAATCTAATTACAGGTTTATCCTATAAAACACATAAAAGACAGGCAATATTTAAAATGGACTATGAATGGATCAAAATGATGAAAAAGATTTTACTAAGAATATCTTACTTTCATATAGTTTACAGTTTATAAAGCTCCTTTAATATATGTAATAAAGATGACTATACTCAATTTCTTTTTCATCACTGAAATGAATATGAATTACTACTAGGCCACCGCTCTCCTACCTTCAAAGTCATGTTATTTGCAATATATGAAGATTTTTTACCAAGCAAACATTAATATGCATAATTAGAACAGAATATTACATTAACTCCAAGATATTCCAACCTGGGTTATGACTTTAATAAGTAAGTTAATCAGCAGCTGATTAAACTAGTAAGTGAATTTAAAGCTTTATTGGCATTATAAACATTACTTTGAGCAGCCAATACTTCTAAAGGAGTATCTTTTTAATTCCTGAAAGAAACTTGGAAATTTCATTTAAATTCTGACTTGCTTTCCATGATTCTTTCATTTTGCAATTAAGTTGGCACTGGGTGGCAATAAAACCATGTCAACTTTTCTCCTTAAATATGTAAAATTGGGCAGTGTAAAGTACAAGTTGTAGGCTGGATGCCACATTAAAATTAGGAACAAATATATTGTACAGTATTATTTAGTTTTCTCAAAATACCAGCTCATATAGAAGCTTCAGGATGTTTAAAACATAATTTGGTAACATAACCTTATTCCCTTAAGGGTTGAAATTTCAAAAAGAAAAATAAATGGGAAAAAGAAAACATTGAAAATCCTTGACCTCCTAAATTTGGAAAATGTTGTTCATGAAATACAGATTACACATGTTCTGAAAACTTCATTGCATACATGTTTGATGTTAGAAAACTGTCTGGTAAGAAAACATGTATGGATATTGTTTCTGAAAAGATATGGGAGAACTTTCTCTATACAGAGTTTTAAATTGCAATAAGAAGATCTAAAAATTAACCTAGATGGACTCTTATTTCTGATTCTTTTATTTAAAATAAAGTTTTACATTTTATATTTGAGATTATGCATTCTAGAAGAATAGGATAACTTCAAATTCAAAATTGTATAAATAAGTTTCCTATTTCTTCTTGGTTTACATTTATTTCTCTTTTATTTAATGCTATTCTCTTTAAGATCTAAACATGGATAAAAACAGTCATGGCAAGAGTATTATTTTTTTGGCTGCTTTCCAGTTCATATCCTGTGGTCAATGAAGCACTGACTCTAAATGAAATCAGAAAAGGAACACCCTTTGAAATTGCAAAGCAGAAACCTTTAGAACATATGGAGTGAGACTGCAGTAAATCACCTGTAATCTCCCTTTGACATGGCTACTCTTTCATTGAAAACTTGTTTGACAAAGAGTTTGATTACACTTTGCATTAAGTACAGTCTGACATGCATTATCTCTATAAGACACCTTGCCTTGCTACATAAGATATGCTGTGTATTCTTTCAGGGATGTCTATTTCCCATAAACAAGCATAACTTGCTTATCCCTTGATATAAAAGTCTAAGAAATTACCCTTGAGAGTTTATCAATGTTTTAAATATATGTAGGTGAAGTGTTAAAATTCTCAAATAGCGAATTCACTATTAGTACTGTTTCCTTTAATTTGGAGTGAATGGAAGAATAGTCAATTAGAATTAATAAGGAGAAAAATTATAGTCTTTTTTTTACTACATATTATTTTTCAAGTAACATGCATTTAATAATTCTTTTTAGACTAAGAAGGAATTGTGTAGTACAGGTCTTAAGAGGAATTACTTTCATAAGTATGATTTGTTCATATTCTTCTAACATGTTTTTAAAAGTACACTACTTTATTGTATATCATACAATCTACAATTTTTCTATATTAGAAAACTATTTTATAAAAAATGTTGTAATATTAAAAATCAACCCAACCAGTGTTCCAATTATCATAATTCAAATCAGTGGAAGGTAGTTTCATAAAGATTAATGACACAATAGTGATTTTATGAATGTTAATTCCCTAGGAGTAAAATTATATTATGTACAGAAACACTACTCTTATAACACACAGTCCATGTTAAAAAAAATCAATAAACTCTTTCAAGACAGACCTAACATATGATACATAACTAGCCACTGAATCCTAGCAAAAATCTTTCTTGAGAGCAGTAGTATAAAAAGGAAAGAATTTTGATGAAAAATTTTCCCATTAGAGAATGCAAAGCAATTAAAACTATTAATATTAAACATAAAATTAAAATACATGTGACAAATGAGCAATATTTGTAACACAAAATTAAAATAGTTATTATGTACATTGATCTTATTTGTTAATAAAAAAAATATTAATGCATGAATTTAAATATTGTGAAGTCCCATTTTGATAGCCTACACTTGCAATCCCAGAACTTTGGGAAGACAAGTGGGGAGGATCACTTGAAGCCAAAAGTTCAAGACTATCCTGGGCAAAAAGTAAGAATCTGTCTGTATAAAAAATTTTTTAAAACATAAAAATTAACCATTCATAGTGGTGTACACCTGTAGTCCTAGCTATCCAGGAGGCTGAAGCAGGAGGACTGCTTGAGCCCAGGTATTTTAAGGCTCTAGTGAGCTATGATTGTACCACTGCATTTTAGCTTGGGCAACAGAGCAAGACCCTGTCTCTTAAAAAAAAAAAAAAAAGGAAGAAAGGGAGAGAGAGAAAGAGAGAGGGAGAAAGGCAGAGGAAGGAAGGAAGGAAGGAAGGAAGGAAGGAAGGAAGGAAGGAAGGAAGGAAGGAAGGAAGGGAGGAGACATGAATGATTTGTAACAGAATATGGTTAATAAACGTAGAAAAAAAGTTCGACCTCACCAATATTCATGGAAATGCAAATAAAAAGAAATAATGAACCACCACATATTTAGAAGAACAATAATATCCAGTGTTGTTAAAAATTAAATGCTAGCTGGAAATAAAAACTTATGATTTCTTAGAAGATATTTTGGCCAAAACAAAAACACAAGTGTTCATTATCTTTTGACTTAGTTATCCTACTTTTAGGAATTTAAACTAAAGAAAAATTCAGAGATATGGGGAAGCACTTACAAATATGATATCTCACATTATTTTCATTTGCTTATATATATTTTAATGTGATAAATTGGAAAAAATCTAAACATACAATTTAACAATATTTAAATGATGGTACATTCATGCAATAGAATTTATACAACTACTAAAAATAATTTCTGAAGAATGTTCAGTGATATGAGAGTATAATTATGATCTATTAATAAAGCAGTATGTAAAAATTATATATACTATATAATCTCAATATATTGCTTTTTAAGTATGTAGAGAAGTACACCAAAGTGTTAAATAGTTATCTCTAAGTTTGGGATAAAGGAAAGTTATTTTCATTTTTATACAGTTCCGTACTTCTTCAATTTTCTATTACAAATTTACAGTATTATTAAGAAGAGAACTTTTTGAGAGAAAATCGTGACAAATCAAGAGAAAACAGCAAATATATATATATATTTCTTAAATGTTTTTCTTAAAACACTTAAACCACTTACCTGTGGTATACAGTCAGTATATGCAAACATTGATTTAAAGCGGTCATCCATGCTTATGTGGTAAAGAACGCACATTGCTATTTGTTTGTAGTTATCATTGCCTAGGAGTAAAACATCATGGTGATGGTGATATAAATATGTTTTTATATAGCACACTCAAATCAATGTACTCCAATTTAAACTACAGAACAAAATCCTTATATAAACGTAATCTGAAAAATATTTTGAGTATCTATTTCAAATCCAAAGTTTGGAGCAAGCATATTCATGTTATATGTGAAACATCACTAATTTCCAAGACAGAATGTCTAATTTCTAAGGTAGATTTTTGAAAAAGAAAATTAACCCTAAGAATTAATAATTTTCATGAGTCCAACATAAGGAAAATTGGGTCATTAGCCTCCCCATCTTTACTGTTTTATCAAAATAGATGATTAATACAGTTCATTTACAGTGGTGATATATAAGAAACAGTAAATAAAAAAGATATTTCTATGAATCGGAAACTGAAAATATCACCCAAATAATGAAAGAAGTAGAGTAGCAGTTATAATAAAAAAATTGACTAAAAAATGCTATAAGCTATAACATAACCTAAATATAGTATGAAGAATGTCTCAGAATTTCTAAGGTAAAATTATTCTAGTTTTACATACTTTGAAACTGAAATAAAAATAAATAGGTATCATAGATTTGAAAAACAAAATGGAAATTGAATACATCATTTAATCCTACCTGCTTTCAGACCGAACATATTTTAAGGACCTACTTATGATCTCAAAGTCAGTGAAAAAACTAGAGCCAGGAAAGTTGCTTAACTAAAAATTTTATCCAAAAAACAACATCCTTTTTGAAAATTCTGGGATATAAGAAATCCTGAAGATATTCCCAAGGTAGTTAGAAATTCTTTAATAGAAATAAACGGATATAATTTCTTCACTTTTTTTTTTTTTTTGAGACGGAATCTCACTCTGTTGCCCAGGTTGGAGTACAGTGGTGGGATCTCCGCTCCCTGCAAACTCCGCCTCCCGAGTCCAAGTGGTTCTCAGCCTCCCAAGTAGCTGGGATTACAGGCAGCTAATTTTTTATATTTTTAGTAGAGATGGGGTTTCACCATATTGGCCAGGCTGGTCTCAAACTCCTGACCCCATGATCCTCCTGCCTCGGCCTCCCAAAGTGCTGGGATTACAGGCGTGAGCCACTGCACCTGGCCCTAAACTGGTATTTTCACAAGGCCTAGCATAGAACATGGAAGTTGTTCAGTAAATATCTGCTGATTGATTCTGTTTTAATATTTAAAAGTAAAAGCTGAAGAAATAAACTCATTTAGTCAAAGACAGAAATTACCAGTTTTAAAAGGGGTTCAGAATTTCAGATAAATAAGATTTGAGACAGAAGTATTTTATGAAATTTCAAGAGACCTTTTATTTATTTTTTATTGTACTTTAGGTTTTAGGGTACATATACAGATCATGCAGGATTGCTGCATAGGTACATACATGGAAGGTGGTTTGCTGCCTCCATCCCCATATCACCTATATCTGGCATTTCTCCCTACGTTATCTCTCCCCAACTCCCCACCCTCTGCTGTCCCTTCCCTAGCCCCTACAACAGACCCAAGTGTGTGATGCTTCTCTCCCTGCATCCATGTGTTCTTTGTTCAACACCCACCTATGAGTGAGAACATGCAGTGTTAGATTTTCTGTTCTTGTGCCAGTTTGCTGAGAATAATAGTTTCCATATTCATCCATGTCCCTACAAAGGACACAAATTCATCATTTTTTATGTCTGCATAGTATTCCATGGTGTGTATGTGTCACATAAAAGTAAGCAAAAAAATATATAGTGATCCTCTAATTTGAAAATTAATTTTGAACTTCCTTATCATCTGATATATTTTATCTAATATATAAGCTCCAGGAAAGCAAGGACTTTATTCACTGCATTATCCTGAGATGCAAGAATAGTACCTAGCACAATGTAGGTATTTAATAATTGTTGATTGACTATTAATAATCATTTATTAAACATTTACTACATATCAAGAGCCATGTTAAACAAACTACATGGCATTGAATCTCAAAACAATCTGTCACCTAGGTCTTATCATCCCTATGTTTCAGATAAGAAATCTAAAGTTTTAGAGAAAAATAAATACTTGCTGCATAGCCTTGTAAGTGGTTGAGTAGGGATTTAAACATGGTCTCTGATTCCAAAATCTTTACCAGATTATGTTACAATAGTAGTCTCAAACACTTTTTTCCTCATTTGATGCCTTTGGTATTCAACATTTTTATATCACAAGGTAAAATTGTTTTCCAAGTAAGATATTATTATCAGGTATAAAAGACGGATAAACACTGATATCTGAGAGAATTAAACACATTTTAAAAAATATACTGCTTTTTAATCCAGACTTTTAGATTTTGCATCTTTCAAAATGGTTTGGCTGAAGCCTATTTGCTATTGCTTACAATAGCAATAAGAACAACTCCCCAGGATAAGATAAAAACAATTTGTTTGTCAGATGAACAAATACTAGTAAGCATTTTCACCCTAACTAAAATCTATAAATTCACTAATTCAACTACTTGGAATACAACATATACTGGAAATGCATTTTATTTATATGAAATATTTATTTCATCCATTTTAGATTTTTTCCCTATAGCATTATTTAAAGAAAAATTAAATTCATAGAAAATTTACAGAATAGAGAGTCAAGATCAAATCGTTTACTCACATTTCTTCTATTGTTTGAAGAGCTTTACTACAAAATTTTTAAAGAGAGAAGCTAAATTAGAGTCAGAGATAGGCTCTAAGGATAATGACCATTGGCTAAGGCTAAAACAAAGCTAAGATACAGTAATATGGGAGAAAATAATATTTAAAGTCTTTGTTTAGAGGTGAGAATTTTATCTGGAGGGAAATATAATGTAAAAATTGTGAAATCGCTCCAAGTAAGAGAAAAGTGCAGACAAAATAAATGTTCTCAACCCCAACAATTTTGTCCTTGAGTTGGAAGCACTCTAAATATGTAAGATCTATGCATTTTAATGTTAGATTTTAACAGAGCACATTTTTATACTGTTGAAAGCACCAATTTATACTTATTCTAGTATAAAGCACATTTATCATAGCAAAACATACATTTAAACAGATTCTCATGATAATGTAGCTTAAGAATGAAAAATTCCAACTTCATACCTCAAGGAAGTAGGAATCCCTTAGTCTTGGTCAGACTGTATTTCACATTCTTTCTTTTCCCTTAGAAATTTAGATGTTTGAAAATTTTTTCAAACAGACTTTTAAAGCAAACTCTCATATTCTGAAGGCAAGTATCTCCTTCCCTGTGATTCCAGTTATTTTCTGTCTGTCATTCAGCTGTGGATAAGTTCTAGTCCTACTTAATTTTTACAGAATATTTGAAGATACTTTCTCTATGTAATAGATTCACTGGAAAGTAGGATTCCAAGTAATACAACTCATTAAATGGAAAAGGAAACAAAGAAAAATAGGTACCTAATATAAAAGATTCTTCAACAGCAAAGTAAATAATCAAACATTAAAATTCAATGTGAGGCTAGGAATGAAATAGGAAGCTATCCCATACTCTAGGAGAATCTGTCTGCTGTTCATATCAAAGAAAAAAATTTTAAAAAGCAATGTCCTAAGGTGGCAAATCATTCATGTAAGGTTAGAGGAAGGAAGGACTCACTTTTAAAACATAAGTACTACATTAGAAGAACAAGAAATTACTGAACATCGGGAAAAGCTAAAAATAAATAACAAGGGAAATTCTCTAGTTAATTTTATGTACATGTATGTATACGTGTGTGTGTGTGTGTGTGTGCGTGCACACACGCAAAGGCCAACTCAGAATAAAGGGTATTTGTTAGAACAGAAAGTAATCCCAGCACTTTGAGAGACTGAGGCGGATGGATCACAGGGTCAGGAGTTCAACATCAGCCTGGCCAGCATGATGAAACCCCATCTCTACTAAAAATACAAAAAATTAGCTGGGCACGATGGCACAACCCTGTAGTCCCAGCTACTTGGGAGAGTGAGGCAGGAGAATCACTTGAACCTGTGAGGCTGAGGTTGCAGTGAGCAGAGATTGTGCTACTGCACTCCAGCCAGGGTGACAAGAGCAAGACTCCAACTCAAAAAAAGAAAGAAAGAAAAGAAGTACAACGAAGTCCTAAAATTACTGGCAGATGAATAACATAGATAAGAAGCAGTTCTCAGATATTACAATTTATTTTAATTTTATATAGCAAAACTAATGTCTAATTTCCAAAAGTAGGATGATTCATTCTGCAGCCAGTCCTAGTTCTGCTCTTGTGTACTTCCTCATTTTCCTTTTCTCTTTGCACTTATGGCCAAAAGTGAAAGTTTCCTGCAGTTCTCCCACATCCTCCTAATTCTTCTCTATCTGTGATCCTCTTATTAAAAAAACTCTGAATAGGTTTCCCATTTCCTATAATATTCATCTAAAACAATCATCATATCCAAAAGTTTGCTAAAAACTAAAGGTCTGAAGTTAAGAGAAGCTCTAGGGACATAAGGCTATGAATGTATCTTTCTTATACCACAATTCTTTGAGAGGTTAAAGAGAAAGGGTTAAACAAACAATGGTATTGTTCTTATTGCATGTTCAGCATAGTTTTTCACATTTAGACCTTACAGTAATTAAAGGGGTAGGTATTATCTTTGATTCAGAGATGAGGCAATGACATTCACTAAGGATATGACTCTTTCCAAATGAAACACAGATGTGAATCTGGGATTCAAACCTAGGTCTGACTATATATAAAGCTCATGCATGTACTTTTTACCAAGTCTTCCAGGAGGCAGCAGAAAGACTGAAATCAATAATGCCATATAAATGTAAGTTGTTATCATCATTCCTTAGGGTAAAGTACAGGAAGGAGATTTCACCTAGAAGGACTCTTAGGATCTGCTGGATCTGGAACTTCTGGGGAAGAGGGTGAGAAGATTGGCAGTAGTGAAAAGAGGAGATGAAATGAAGAAATGCAATCAGATATTTCTCAGAGGACCTGTGCCCAGATACAGCAGGTTCCAATGGATGGAAGAAGTT